TCGAATGAGTCATAGCAGAATCTTCTTGAATATAAAATACTATCTTCTTGATTTTTCCCACTCATGGTTTCTCAGGTTGCTGCTACCTTGGATGAATGCATTTAACTTTTCTCTGTCTCAGTTTCATCACCACACAATATGATCAAGTCCAGAAGGATAATTTGAGGAGCTGTCAGTCTGAGTACACAATCCTGTATCCTTCCTGTTACTCTCATCTGTCCTTCCTCTTCCCCACAGAAAAGAACGGATATCAGAGTCCATTGCACGTAACACCACAGACAAGCACTAACTCAAGTCTTCCATCAACCAACTTATATGAGCAACTAATTCATTCTGTTGACCAATATTACAAATGGCCGAACTCCAGAATACAAATTTCCATTTGCACTTAACTGAATGTTAAAGTCAACTGTGTCTTTTGCTGGGCATTTTTATGGTATTGATGTTGTTAGACTACCATGAACTGAATTTTGCAATTACCTCTTTTAATCCAAAACAGAGCTATATAATAAAGTCCTCCATGTGTGGACAGACTCCAGGTTAAATCTTACCAAAACGCACACAATTCGGAGTAGCACAGCTACAATTAAGATCCAACAGCTAACTGCCGCTGTGCACGGCCACATGATCTTCAGAGCTCTGTGGAAGCGCAGGCAAATTAAGCATTATTATTGTCACATTACTTAAAGGTTATGAAACCAACATGGTATGAGTCACCAAAATGGGAGTGACTCACCATCTCTATTGTGAAGAATTTTTGTTCTGCAAATCTTTCCTCAATATAGAAGGAACTAATTTATGATGAAGTATTTCATCAAATAAAAGTGCAACATGCTGTTGTGGATAAGTGTATATACTAACAATAGCTGAGGTCTTGGCACCAATGATTAGGCTTCTTGAAATCATATGAAGTATATATTCATATGCGTATGAGTACTGCAAGTGTAGTATGGACATATATGTCTACAGATATGTATGTATATTTGTATACATAAATACATATGCAAGGTATATAGTTGGATTCTTCATATCTAAACTACTATTAGAAGACCGAGTGAAATATTTGCAAAGCAGGTGAGTTCAATTCCATTTCTTTCCTCTTGTCAGGTAAGCTACATGCCAGCTACCTTCCTGGGGAATTACCTCAGTATTGTACCCAATCACATTATTTGATTTTCCTATTGATATTATTTCCACAGAAACCAAAGAAGTGAGTCCCGTATGCTTGACTCCATTCTCCTTGACTTTGACACAATGTCTTATCATTCATTCTACAAATATCTCCGAGCTCTTGGTTTGCTCATGGTTGCGCCAAGCAAAGCAATACAGGGCACTATCTGGACAAAGACTATTTCCACTCTCTAGGGACCCAGCTTAATGCAATGAGCCTGTGTAGGTAAAGATAGAGGCAAAGATAGAGAACTCTGGTGTGATGGGAGATAAAGAAAGAGAAATCTTTTTGCAAAGGCTGAGTAGCAGGTGATGGTATTTTTAGGCAGGGCTCAAGATGGCCAAGAAATACATCAAGGACACCAGAAGAGCATGAGACCAGAGGATGCTAACTCGTATGGTTTGGGGACATTCTTCTATTGGCTGTAGAGGAACAGGGGCTAGAAAATAACCCATGTGTTCAGGAAAGAGCAGACTGTAGAGGCATTTCCCTACCTTGTCATGGACATTTTCATCAATGAGTATCAGAAATGGGTCCTGAGTCTTGAGTCACATGATCACATCCGGAATGAGGTAAGAATCACCTTGGCTTCACCAGTCTGTGAGTGGTTCAAGAGCCCCAGATGTTCAAGCAGGACAAATGACCTGCTGCTTGCCACCCTTGCCATCTCATTTGTTGGCTGGAATGTCCTTAGTTTGCCTACAGGTATAATAGAGATAATTGCTATTCAATTTTATAGTTTTTATGTGTGTGAAGAAAGCTACACAATCCATAAAATTCTCAGCCTAGTGTTTGGCCCATAGTAAGTGTTCAAAAATTGCACTTCATGTTTTGTGTCCGTACACATGCCATTCACTATCCCTTGAGGTCCATCTTTCATTTCCATGACTTCCCGTGTAATCTCCTTACCCAACTTGACTCTCAATGTCACTCACATTTACTCACAGTTTCTAGAGTCACGTGCCCAGTAGTCAGATACCACCTTGACTTAGTCTTCAGCTCAAATGATTGTGTGGTCTAAGTTTGCCTCGCTCTCTGTTCTGGCCTTTAACTTGACCCTAGGTCTCCTGTACACTCACTTTCTGGACTATTCTGTGCTGGTAGAACAGTAGATAGATAATACAAGCACACTGACAAGGCAGGTGTCTAAGATAGACCAGTGGACTGGAAAAGAAAGTCACGCAAGTATAAGGACCAGATTGCAAGTCCCCGTTACCCCCATACAGGCCATGTGAATATAGCAGCCTGTCTGTAATCCCTGTTCTCAGAGGCAGAGATGCTGGATCCCTGAAGCAAGCTAGCTTCTTAGACTAGCCTAACTTGGGGACTCTGGGTTTAAGCAAAAAACCATGCCTCAATATATAAGGTAGAGGGTGATTGAGGAAGACACTGGACATCAACCTCTTAACTACATACATGTAAACACATATATAGGCATGCACACATACCACACATGCACATATATGTAAAACTATCTGTAGACTAAAATATTTCAATGACCACATGTTTCCTGCAATGGTTACTTTCATATGTTAGCTGAACAGGAGGAAAGCATGCCTGTCAAGCTGATAAAATGTTTGTGAGAGTGTTTTCTAAAAGATATTATTATTTTAGTGTCTGAGAACCTCTTTATTAAGTGAAGACAAATAGGTTTATACATGTATGCTTGTTGCTAGAGTCTGAACCAGGATCTCACAGATGCCAGGCAAACATGGTACTGCTAAACAACACCCCCAGGTCTGGTTTACTTATTTTTTGTAGAGTGCCCCTAAGACTGTTCTGTGCTTATATCTTGATAGAAGATCTCCCTCACCACTGTGAGAGGGAGTCATCCCATCTGCAGAAGGCAGGAGAAGGGTAAACTTGAAATACTTTATACAGAAAGGACCTCTATCTTCTATCTGAGACCACTGATAACCACTGGCTCTCAGGCTTGGACCAGGGCTTAGATCATTACCCACCTGACTTGCTGGACTTGGGTGGGGCATACAATGTTTGTAACTCCAGTTTGACTGTCAGGTCTTCCAAGTTTGTATATAGCTATACCCGTGGTCTTCCTGGAACTTCAGTATGCAAATGGCAGACTCTGAGACTTCATAGTCTCTATAATCCCATGATCTAGTCCCTCATGATAAATCTCTATTTGTCTCTCTATGAATAGTCTGTGGATCTTGTTTCTCATGAAAATCTCAACATACTACTTGGATCTTTCAGAGCTTATCTCCATTTTTTTTTTGGTTTTTTCGAGACAGGGTTTCTTTGTGTAGCTTTGCGCCTTTCCTGGAACTCACTTGGTAGACCAGGCTTATCTCCATTTTTAAAGACATTGGTGTAATTTGTAGCCATCACAGACTGATGAATGAAAAACATGTTAAGATAGTTGTGGTGGTAAGTAGTCTGCTGAACTTAGTTCTTCCACAGTGACCATGGATGGCTATTTTTACAGGATATTAACAGCTTTTTATAAAAAGCAAACCAACTTAGCCACATATCTAAGAAACACTATTAAGTGAAGATGAATAGGTTTATACAGATATACATGAACGCATGTATAGATCAATGGATGGATGAATGGATGGATGAGTGGGTGGGTAGATATATGGATGGATGGGTGGGTAGGTGGATGGATGAGTTAGTGGGTGTATAGGTGGATGGATGGATGGATGGATGGATGGATGGATGGATGGATGGATGGATGGATGGGTGGGTGGATGGGTGGGTGGATGGATGGGTGGGTGGGTAAATGGGTGGGTGGATGGATAGATGGTTGGATGGATGGATAGATGGGTGGGTGGCTGGGTGGGTGAGTGGGAGGATGGATGGACAGACAGATGGATGGATGGACAAATGGACAGACAGATGGAAGGATGTGCTTGTTGCTGGAGACAGAATCCAGGGCCTCACTGATGCTAGGCAAACACTCTACTGCTGAGACCACCCTCAGCCCTGGTTTATTTTTCATGTACAGTGTCTCAGACACTGTAATGTTCTGAGGTTCTTCTGAGTAGAATGGGGTGCTATGACAGTAACCTATGTCTTCTTAATGGAGCAACATTCAGCATAGGTTTTGTTTTTGTTTTTTGTTTGTTTGGTTTTTTTTTTTTTTTTTGTGTGTGTGTGTGTAGGAGAAGAAACTCTCCAAATTTGAGATATGATGACCAAGGTGAAGATAGTCACTTCTCTCTCTCTCTCCTTAGGTGGCAATTTTTAATCTCTATTCTTTAATCCTCTTCTTATCAAACTATTTATTAACCAGACTACCATCTTTAAGATGAAAATATAATTCAATGTATTTAATAGCTACATAGTCAAAAATTCAATGCCCAATGAACTCAGTTATAAATAACTTCAGGCTGTTTACAATTTATCCCAAAATGAAAAGGCATCCAGCTAAAATAATTATTTCCTATATTTGGCAAAAATATCTCCTTTACTTAAGAGAGAAAATTATGTTTTTAAGAAATATTTTTGAATTCGGTTCTTAAATGTGAAACAACCCTCATTATTATTTGGACCTCTTGATCAGAAACAGGTTTCATTTTCTTCATCACTGAATGATGTTTAAGGCATATTATCATCATTGATCTCCGCATGGGGTCCATTATCATCCAAGCCTTTTCTCATCAGCTCGCTCATTATTTCATTCTTCACTTGTTCCTGGTTGGGTTTTTCTTTTTGTGTGTATATGCATGCAGGCATTCATACACGTGTATGTGCAGGTTTGCACTGTATCTCTGTGTGCAAGCATGTGTGGTGTGAGAGCCAGAGGTTGATGTTGACTGTCTTCCTCAATTGTTGTCCACTTTAAATATTAAGCAGGGTCTCTCACCTGAATGTAAAGCTCCAGATTCTACTAGCATAGCTTTTCCAGGGAATCTCCCATTCCGGCCCCTGAGAGGTTATAGGCAGGCAGCATGGGCTTTGAAGATCTGAACTCTGGTCCTCATCCTTGTGTCGCAAAGGCACTATCCATTGCGCCATCTCCCAGCTCTACCTGCTCCCATTTACATTCATTTCCAAACTGTTTCTCACTTGCTCCCAGCTATTCTATACATGAAATACAAAATTTGGGAACATTTTATGAATTTTTACAAAAAATAAAATGTTGTTCTGGTATTTGTGAGAATTATTCCAATCTTTATACCCAGAATCTTATAAAAAAAAATTTTACTCTGTAGTAATTTTAAAATAAAGTATTAAAAAATAAAACATGGCTTCTAGGAAAAACTGAATAACTCTTTAGAATCACATAAACCAGTGGTTCTCAACCTCCCTAATGCTGTGTGTGACACTTTAATACAGTTCTTCATGTTGTGGTAACCCTCCCATCATAAAATTATCATTGCTACTTCAAATAACAGCAATTGTGTTGCTGTTGTAAATCATAATGTAAATATCTGATATGCAGGATTTCTGATATGTGACCCCATGGAAGGGATGTTTGACCCCCAAAGGGGTCATGACCCCACAGGTTGAGAACCTCTGATGTAGAAACGTGATGGAATAAAGCAATGAGTTTAGCATCTATGTGTCTGTATTTCGTTCAGTAATATGAGTGCAAAACAAACCCCCACCTCCAAGGAACATTTTGGTATTATTTGCTAAAGATGGGAATATTCATTTTATCATTCTCTGCACTCTCCCTGCAACGGCAAATGACTTCTGAATATGCCGCCTCATCTGTCATTGTCAAGCATTAAATATAAATCAAATTTGCAAGTTTTTTAGAAGTTTGCTAGAACAGAATAATGTCATTGTCAACACTTTTAAACATTTTATGACTTTGGGATTTTTTTTCTATAAAAAGAAAAAAAGCACATTGCCAAACTAATTAAAATTGTTCATGAATATTAATAATTGAGCTGAAAACAACTGCCACTAGGTGGCAAACAATCTACACATAGACCTATATGAAAGAGAGCATGGTAAATATATTATATTATGCACATATTAACCTATACAGTACAAATATCTGGTTAACCCTCTGTGTTCAATCTACTATTAATAACATTACCACGTAAGTCTAACAGTGTAAACAATGACAAACGGACTCTGAGGAGTCAAACTTTCTTTTGTCTTACACGAAGTCTTTTTCTTTACAAGCATGAGTATAGCTGATATGTGACCTTAGAGCTATTTATTATAAAGAATATCTGGTGGGCCGGGCAGTGGTGGCGCACACCTTTAATCCCAGCACTCGGGAGGCAGAGGCAGGCGGATCTATGTGAGTTCGAGGCCAGCCTGGGCTACCAAGTGAGTTCCAGGAAAGAAGCTACACAAGAGAAACCCTGTCTCGGAAAACCAAAAAAAAAAAAAAAAAGAATATCCGGGCTATGGACATTTATAATTCAACTCATATGTGCTCTCAAAGTTGAAAGTACATCAATGATGAAACACAGGACCTGGAAGAACCTGAGCTTTGAGCTCTGGGGCTGCAAGGCTGGCTCCATGGAGTCCAGATGCTCACCCATGTTAGACCATGTTGGGTGACAGAGATGGAAGCCCTGCTGGGATTTTTTTTTTTCACTCTCTCTGATTCAACACTCTGGGGAGTAGAGAACACAAAGTCACATTTGGTAGAACCTGGGACTGGACTTTCAGGTTTGGATAGGAGCACAGTTGCTTCCTAACTGTGAAGATGTGGTCAGTTATATGATTGTACCCAAATGGCAATTTCATTTCCTTGAAAGAAGATCTTCATGGTTATCTCTTTCTTACCTTGGTGTTGGTCACATGAGTGGCATATGAGGTACTATGATGTACACAATAACCAGTAATGAGTTCCCATAGGCTCCCATGTTCTTCCCCTCTTTGAGCAGTAAGAACTCACCAATCCTTCAGCCTGGGGTCTGGCATGGCCAACAAAACAGAATGCAAGTCAGAAGGATTGGCTGATATGAGTTACTGAACCTCAAGGGTACTTGTCATTTGCTGACAGAACACCACCAAGTAGGATCTGACCAAGAAAGTAAGGCTCAGTGTTTTGACTTGCCAATTGAAAGACATCTTGATTTTTCTTTTCTACCGTGTCTTCAGCCTGTTTCTTCACCACCTAATGATGCTTTAAAAAAAAAAAGTATCCATTTTATAGTGATTGGAAGGTTGGGTGAATGAATAAGAAAGAATATGGAATAACATACAACCTCATAAAAAGTAGATATATTTACTAAAGTAAACTAAATATGTCTTGGCACAGTATCACATGCTTAGAAGTCTCAGGTATTTGAGAGGTGGAGGTAGGCAGGTCCCTTGAGACTTCAAGGCCAGTCTGGGACAGCACTATACAGCATTGTCTCTATAAAAAGTTAAAAGTTTCTAAATCAGAATATAGTAAGGGAATGGATTTATTTAATGTCTGCTTGACTCTTTGGGTGTTTTATTCATATTCTATTTAATTATAAGATGTCTTTAGACATTCCTGTCTTGTAGAAACAGTTAGAAAGTAGCCTAACCCAGTGCTTCTTAAATATGGTGGCCTGGGGCTTGCTTCTTAAATGTCCCTTCCTTAGTCCCTCATAAATTAATACTTTCCAAAAAGAATAGAGATAAAACTTGGTGAACAAGTTTTTTTTTCAGGGTTATTTTTTTATTCTTTTTTGGAATTTTTAGAGACAGGGTTTCTCTGTGTAGCCCTGGTTGTCCTGGAACTCACTCTGTAGACCACGCTGGCCTTGAGCACAGAGTTTTGCCTATCTCTCCCTCCCTAGTGCAGGGATTAAAGGTGTGCACCACCACCACTTGGTTCAATGAGTAAGTTTTAAAAGACATACAAATAGAATTCCAAGCCAGGCATGGTGGTACACACTTTTAATTCCATTACTCAGGAGGCAGAGGCAGATGGATCTCCATGAGTTTGAACCCTGCCCCCGCATCCAAAAAGAAAAAAAGAATTCTAACTTACTTCACCAGTAGGCAAAAGTTCGACTTAATTCATAGCACTGAAATAAATAAAACACTCAATATATCAAAATTGTCCACATTACTCCATGAAAATATCCATATAAACAAAGACAATAAATACAGAAAGTATTTCACTTTAATTTTTCATCATTTCATAATTATAAACTAATCAAAGCGAAGCAATTTCTCAATACAAACACCACATTCCTACTTTAAACTACACAGTTTGTAAGGAGACAAAAAGCTTGCTTCCCCCTGGTTAACTTTCCTAATATCCTATTTTAACAACAGCCCATAAATGAGGAACAAATGTGGGCTGTGTGGATAAAAATCACAGAAAAGATCATAGGGCAGCAATTGTAGTATATTCAATTTTGACTTTTATCCAAACATGAAGCAAATGATGCTGTATGTTTAAAATTTAATTTTTATCAAAGACCAAACTTAATAATTTATTTTGAATGGCTTTAGTTACATTTAATGGTGTTTTAAATTAATTTTTAGATTAGCATACAAAGTAATGTGTTTCATTATGGTATTTTCATATATATATATATATATATATATATATATATATACATTATTATACTTGGCTCTCATTCATTTCTCTTCCCTGCTTTTTAAGGAAAGAAATCAATTCTAAGCTTAATACTTTTGCATCCCAGCTGGCAGGTTAAGATACAGTGCTATAACGGGGTCTGCTGTGTGCAGTTAGTAAGCATCTTCAATTCCAGGTCGCCTGAGCCTATACAGGGCTCATCCCATGACTTTAAGAAAACCTAAACTGTGCTAAAACCATTCAACTGGTTGGACAGCAGATTTCTAAATGCTGCAGCTACTGCTCCATTTCTGATTTTGTTTAAGTTAGGGATGAAAAGGGAAATGTCCTCCACAGGCTCATGTGTTTTAAATACATGATGCGAAGCTAGTTGTGTTGTACTTGTAGATACTGGAACCTTTGAGGCAGGGAGTGTAGCTTGTAGCTAGGCCACAAGGGCAGCCCTTGATTTTATATATATATAAACAACCAGTTGAATGGTTTTAGCACAGGGAAGAACAGTTTAGGTTTTCTTAACTAACTTTACATAAATACATGCATACACACACACACACACACACACACACACACACACACACACACACACACACACACACATCCCTACTTCCAGTCCAAGCTATTTGCTTGCTGATCCACCAAGATGTGAACAAGTCATGCGGCAAGCGCCTGCCACTGTGTACCGGACTGCTCCAGCTGTTGTCTTCCTCATCACGGTGGACAGTATCCTCTATTCTGTGAGCTGAAATAAACTGATGCTACTTTATGCTGTTAATACAGTCTTTATGAACAGACCACAACCAAAGTACAGATGACAGTGCTGTGAAACAGGTCTTGACAGATATGATAGCAAGTGGCAGGGATATATGTCAGTGCCAAGTCAGAATGACTGGTCTCCTTCACAGTGCAAAGTTACTCTTCTATTAAAGGCAGCCAGTGGATAAACAGGTCATCTGAGTTACGGATTATGTTTGTTCTGCTGCTTGTACTGTGAAGCAGCAGTTGGCTAATGGAAGCCTGCGAGCAAGCATAGAGATGGTAATTCATTATAAATATTTTGTAGTATAGCTATAAGGTAACACGTTATTACATTAAATAAATATTGTGGTCTGCTCTTCAAAGCTAGTGGTTTTTAGATTCGCCCAACTCTGAAGTCTGTAAGTACAACTGCTCCATTGTATTGCATGCTTTTTGATGATAGAAACACCAATCTTAAGAGGTTCTGGAAGCACGCATGTATCCAGAGGAGATTGACTGGAGCCATCCCCCCATGCAGGACTTGGGTTACAGACAAGTGTATGTGTGTGTGTGTGTGTGTGTGTGAGAGAGAGAGAGAGAGAGAGAGAGAGAGAGAGAGAGAGAGAGAGAGAGAGAGAGAGAGAGAGAGAG